TTGTTCGTGATTCACCGAACGGCTGGCTCCCGCCGAGGCTCTGCCCGGGCACAAAGGCAGCTTTCATGCTGCGGATGCCCGGTTTCTAAGCCGGGATCCGTATTTTGAGAGGCTGTGGAAGATTACAGTAATTGCACTTGACAGGGCAAGATGTCACAGGACACGGATTCGCCCGGCTGCGGGGCCCCGGCACCCGTCACTCCTTGCCTGTGGCATCCTTCCTAGCTGCTCCTTTTGCACTTTGCTGAAATAAATCTATATCCCCAAAATAGAGGGGGATTATCCCTCTGCATCCTGGCTCTTGGGTCCAGTTGCAGCACTGGATTTTGCAACTGCAGGGTACCCGGATCTGTGTTCTGAGGGGCTGGGCAGGTCACGGCTGGTGTTTGCTGAAGTCTCTGGGGGATGCAGCACAGTGAAAATCAGCCAGGTAGGTGCCTGTCTCTGCAGTAATACAGCTCTCAAAATGCCAAGGCAAGAAACTCCCTCGTTTGCAAACTGCCGTCCCCGCACCTGCCACCTTTTTCATCAGATCTTTTAAAAAAAGTTAGGTTTGACTCCTGAAGCCACAGTCTCCCAGATTCTGGCCTTTTGAAAAACTTCAATTTATTTATCAGGATATGGTGACTTTGGCAGGAATGGGTCGTCGAAACACTGGCAGCTGATTAAGGTCCCTGTACAGGAGTTGCACTTTTAGCTAGCTCTCCCTGGTTATCGAGAACAGTGATGTACCTTAGTAACTGCTCCATGATGGGTTCAGACCTGGGTTTAACCATCTTCCCCGTGCTGAAACATACGTTTCCCTTATCTGGCCTTTAAGCCAGATTTCTAATGTGCTTTGAAAAGGGCTAGGAAGAGTTTCCTGTGGCTGAAAGGGGCTGGTTGTTTTCTGGGCTGTCGCTGATGCTGTGTGCAGGTTTACCTTTACAGCTCTCAGGCTGTTTTCGGTTTGGCTTACGAGTGAATCTAGATCCTTTGAGAGGGCTTAAAATAGTTGACATATTTATGCTGGCAGTATGGCAGGGCTGTGTGATGTGAGGGTTGTTGTGTCTGTTGCGTCGTGTTATTTCTCGCTGCTACCATGGGTAGGAATGATTCAGCGCTGGGGATTAACTGCTGCTGTTGCAACAGGTTTAGGGATCAATTTATGGCAGAGGCTTCCCTCGGTGTGATCAGGTGCACGTTAAGAGCGTGGGAGGATAAGCTGGGATAAAATACTACAGCTATTGGTGGATTCCTCTGTGATGGCTATTTTGGGGTTTTATTTCAGTTTTGCTTTGGAGGTTCCTACAGGTGTTATGCAATCTATTTGGGGATTTTTTTCTTGTTTAGGGAAAACTGGTTGCCTCGCTGGTTTTGGATGGTGGTGCTGTGTTTTGGGGCCAAGGTTTTATCCCTAAGGTGGCTGGCACGGGACAGGCTGTGTCTCTTCCTGGTCTTATCCTTCCAATGCTCCTCACTTTTCTTCCCCTGGGGTGACCTGAGGGCCAGGTAACTGATGTGAACAGCCTGTAAGAGGCTGTGCTGGGGCAAACCCTGCTCTTAGAGGCAGCAAAAGCTGTGCAAGATCACCTGTTACCCTGCACAGCTCCAGGCCTTCCAGCAGAAATGCTCCACGCTTTGCAAAACTGCTAGTCTGCCTTAAAAAATGGGGAAAAAAATCTGATACAGTCATAGGAAATCAAAGTCTGTACATGATGCAAATTCATCCCTTTTCATGATGGCAGATAAGCCTGGGCCGTCACCCACGCAGTTCACCTGATCTCAGCAGTGCTCGAGCCCGGGGAGGTTTTGGGTACAGATGGTGCTTGGGTGAACGCAGCCTGGCAGGAGCAGGGGGCAAATGCTCCCCCAGAACCTCCTCAGTGTTGGGCAGCAGCATGAGAACCACCCTGGAAGGGGGACTCTGGGGCTTTGTCACCTGCTTTTGGGCAGGGATTTCTCCTCTCCCCAGGTCAGGGTGTTGGGGCAGGGATCTCTCCTCTCCCCGGGTCGGGGTGCAGCTCCTGGAGCAAAGCGGGTGTGCGGGTGCCAAGAGCGGGGTCTCAGCCCGGGGGTGTTGGGGGGTGGATTTTTTCACTCCAGACTGGTGCTGGCTCTGTTTCGCTCGGTAAAAGGCTCCCACCTATTGGTTATGCTGCACAACTTCAGCTGCCTGAGAAACACACATCCCTCCCTCTTTGCTGGGTAAAGCTGAGTTGGAGCATCCCTGGTGTTATCACAGACTTTGAGGAACTTGTCATGGAGAGTTTAACTCTGACGTAACCCAGGAACGGTGCAGTCGGGTGGGGAAAGCGCTTTGGTCTGCAGAGACTGCCCTGCATTGCTGCAAGCTGTCCCTGTGCTCATCTGGCCTCACTGGGGCCGTGGGGGACAGCAGCAGGGGGTGGCAGGAGGTCTGAGGGGAAACCACCGAGGCCTGAGCATCCCCAGGGATGACTTTACCCCATGCCATGCGAGGAGGGGGAGCACCCCTGTGCAGTGTCGTGGGATGGGTGATGGTGATGCCAGGCTAGTGGCAGATGACACGGCATGCTGTGCCTTCAGGGAAAAGCGTGGCTTATGCTTGAAAATGGAAGTGAGAAGGTAGTGTTTCATAATTAAGTATCTTATTTAAGAAATCTGAAGATCTTTCTACAAAGCTTTTGGTTTAAAAACAGGGAAACAAATTACCCCGAATTGACCTGTAGTCGAAGACAGCTCAGCTGAAAGCAGGCCGGGGATTTGCTCACATGCTGCAGGCACTTGCACAGCTCCTTTCCAAGCCCTGCACAGCCCCTGCTGCGAAACAGCCTGTCCTGGGAGGGGGCAGCTGCTGTGGGGCTGGGTGATGGCAGGTCTGGGGTCAGTGTGCTGGGGCTGGGGTCCCTGAGAGACTGGTCTCGCCTCGGTGGCAGGCTGGGACTTGATGCTAATCCATCTTCCTTGGGGCACAGCCCTCCAACTCCAGCAGCTCAGGCCAGCCGTCGTATTTATTTGTCTTCACATCATTTCTGATGTACTGCAAGGAAAAAAAGAGAGCAAGAGAAAGTGAATGAGGAGGTTGGCGGCACGGTGCAAAGTTGCAAGGTGGCAAAACTTGCAGCTTGGCTTGAGTGATGGGGAATAGCACCACTGGCCCATGTCTTCTGTGGACAGGTAGGTGTGATGTAGCTCGGGAGGTGCTACAAAGGGGGTGGGAGCTTCCAGAGCTGGTGGCAGGGGAGGGCCACGTACATCTTCAAAGGGGCTTTTGTTGTGCAGCCCTTTGGCTCCCAGGAAGACCCAGTTGTCCCGAAAGCCCAGCTTGTTCACGTGGCTGCTGCCCAGCTCCACAAAATGTGCCCGTATTTTGTCATTCATCCTGAAAGAGGGTAAGAAGGTGTTAGTGTGGTGCCAGGTGGGTGTCCCCTCCTGTCACCTCTCTGCTGCTGGCAGCAAGGTGTTTCTCCCAGGACCAAACTCACTTTGTGGCAGCATCATCATAGCTGGCGACCAGTACGATGGTACCATGCTTGATCTCTTGAAGGAAGGTATCCAGTTTGTTAATGTCTGAGAGAGAAAAGCATTAGGGAA